ATTCGATTGGGCAACGAAACGTTTGAGAAGTGTGCCGAACCGCGTGCGGGGACGCCATGCGGACACTACCGCTGGGGCACTTGGTGGAGCTCTCTACGGAACCACGAACCGTATGATGGGCGTGCCGGATCGTGCGCGGGTGTGCAATGCGAACCCTGCCGTTCGGGCGGTCTGTGGAGCCTTGCCAAGAAACGTGTGAGGGAGGTGCACGACTGGACACGCGGCAGGCGGAAACAGGGATGTGCCGGGGGGGCAGCGGGAGGAAAAGAAGGAGAGACTCGGGGCGCGTCGTCTGCTCAAAACAACAGCCCAACACCAAAAAATGGTTGGGAATCAAGATGTCTAAAACCACGTTTTGGTCAACGGGAAGGGCAGTGGAAAAGAGTGAAGAATCGTGCGTCTTTCGTGCACCTTGGGCCGGCGGTGGTAGTTTAGGGGCCGGTCGATGTCCCTTTGGGGCCACTCTCCTTCATCCGTCCGCGTTTTTTGCCCCCCCCCCCCCCCCCCCCCCCCGTTACCGGCGCCCGATAGCGGTCCCCCAGGGGCCACAATTCAGGCAACACTCCCTGACATGGGGCCCGAACGGATGGAGTGGCAGGATCGCGCCCCATCGCGCATGCATCGGCGATGCATTGGCAACATCACTGATGCCTCGGCACCGTCGGCGTGGAGAGAATCCGCCGACCCATTGTGGGCCTCGAGGCGTGTGAGATAGTTCCCCCCCCATAACCCCCCCAGGGACCCTAAACCGGAGATTTGACCCCCCCCGGCCCCGGGGCACCCACCGCCGGACGCGCCATGGGGGAGCAGAAGGTCCCAAAACGGGCCAAAAGCGCACAAGTGGGCCCACGCGACGGTCCAAGAAGGCCCCAAGAGGCCTCCAAGACGGCCCACGAGGGCCCCGAGACCCCAAACGAGCGCTCCAAGACGCCAATGACAGGCTAAGAGGCCTCCCGGACGGCCAAAGAGGTCCCCACGAGGCCCCAAGAGGCCTCCAAGATGTGTCCCAAGAGGGTCCCTAAACGCAAAAATGCGGCCCATCCCCTTCGTAAAACGTGCAATTGTCACAATTTCGCCTTCTAGGCTTTCCGATGCTCGCAGACGGCCCAAGAGGCCCCCAAGACCGCCCCAAAACGGCCCGAGAAGCCCCCAAGAGGGCCCCAAGATATCCCAAGAGGGCCCCAAGACGGCCCAACAGGCGTCCAAGACGGCCCAAGAGGACCCCGAAAACGGCCCCAAGAGCGTTCCAGGAGCGCTCCAGGTGGCCTCCAAGAAAGCTCAATATGGTCCCAGACGGTCCAAGAGCGATCAAAGACACCGAAGATGGACTCCAGACGGCCCAAGATGCCCCCAAGAGGCCCCAAGAAGCATCCACGATGCGTCCCAAGAGGGCCTCTAAACGCAAATCTTGGCCCGTTCTCTTCGTAAAACGTACATGTTTCACACGTTCGCCTTTTGGGTTTTCCGACGCTCCCGGACGGCCCAAGAGGCCCCCAAGACCGCCCCAAGACGGTCCAAAAAGCCCCCAAGAGGGCCCCATGACAGCCCAGGAGGGCGCCAAGACGGCTCCAGAGGCGCCGAAGACGGCCCAAGAGAGCCCCAGAGACGGCCCCAAGAGCGCTCCAGGAACGCTCCAAGTGGCTTCCAAGAGAGCTCAGCATGGTCCCGCACGGTCCAAAAGCGATCGAAGACACCCGAGATGGCCTCCAGATGGCCCAAAACGCCCCCAAGAGGCCTCGAAGATGCGCCCCAAGAGGATCCCTAGACGGAGAAAATTTCTCATTTCCTTCGTAAAACGTATATGGTTCACACATTCGCCTCGTGGGCTTTCCGACGCTCCAAGACGGCCCAAAGAGGCCCCGAAGACCGCCCCAAGACGGCCCCCAAGACGGCCCCACGACGGCCCAATATGGCCCCAAGACGGCCCGAGAGGTCCCCAAAACGGCCCAAGAAGGCTCCAAGACGGCACCAAGAGGGTCCCAAGAGGGCAACCCACAAATCAAAAATCTAGCTTTCCGCCCAAACGAGCCCCAGGGGGCCCCAAGAGCGCCCCAAGAAGCTGCCAGAGGCCCCCAAGAGGCCGCCAAGACGCCCCAAGGAGCCCCCAAGAGGACCCCAGGAGGCCCCCAAAAGACTCCCAGACGCTTCCGTATTGCGAGCCGTCAAGCCAACTGCAATGCATTCCGCGCGTACAGCCTTACTCTTCCTCGCGACGTGCTCACTATGTTGCTCGGCGCTAGTGTGCACCTGCCGCGCGAACTGTTTTCTGCGCGCAGCGAGCGTCAACAGCCTCTTCACCCGTTTCGACTCATCCGCCACATTTTTCGCACACTACTCTTGCTGATCACAGCTTCCGCACACTACTCTTGCTCCTTTCGTCATCCGGTGGTCCTCCACTTGGTTGCGGGTCGAAAGGCCGACCTCCCACAAATACACCCCGCACCCGGGTGCACAGCACGCAAGGCGCTCGCAAAACACGCCCCAGACCACCGGCATCACGCAAACATTTGGACCCCCTACGTATCTGCCACCACCCGCGCGCGACACCGCACCCTCACACAAGACGCCGTTGGCCAGAAACTCCTGGCCTCGCAACACTCACAGAAGGGGTCGGCGGATGTGGCGTAAGCCTGTAGAATCAGGCTCTACATACAGCCGCATCGCCAATGCATCGACAGGCGCGATCTCCGACCCCATCTGCTCCGCTCCCATCTGGGAAGCCCAGGCAACACGGCCATGCCGTGGCAACGGTCGGGCTCCTCGGCAAAAGGCGCCGTCGCTCCGTCGACCGCGTTGCTGCTGAGCTCAAGGCGCCAAGAAAAGAGGCAGCGGGGGAACAGCGCATGGTCTCGGAAAGCTCCTTGAGGCAACTGGCAACTGCCAGGCGCAGAGAGCGAATCCCCTGGGTCAAATCCAGCACTGGGGACCAAGGAGAGGAGAAGGATGAGGATGAGGAGGAGGAGGAGGAGGAGGAGGAGTAGAAGGAGGAGGCGGAGGCGGGGGAGGAGGAAGAGGAGGAGGGGGAGGAAGAGTTAGAGGAGGAGGAGGTCGCCTTTTCGTCTGCATCAAGGCGGCCCAGCGCGCGCGGAGGCCGACCTGAAGAATCAGAGCGTGGCGCTGGAGGCGGAGCTGCTCAGGCGGGTCGCTCCCTGCTGTGGCATCACCCTCCCCCGAAGGGGAGGGGGTGTGGAGTGGAGTGCGGCCCGTTGCGATGCAAGTCAGAGCAACCTGATGGCCCAACTGAAGTGTGCTTGACCGCCAGGCCTTCTTCTCGGCATGCCTCTGAACCTTCGGCTTCAAACGAATCGCAGTTCTGCCGAGGTGTGGAGGAAGAAATGGAAGAGGGGGGAGGGAAAGAAGATGAAGAGGAAGGATCTAGGGCATGGAAAAGGAGGAAAGATGTGAAGGAGGAAGGAGGGAGGAGGGACAACGACAGCTCGACTTCGGGGCTGTGCCAGCTTGAGCAAAAAGACTGGTGAGCCTGCCCCCGTCGCTGGCGCGGCCGTACCGCTCCGCCACTAAAAGGCTATGCGCGCGAGGTACAGGCTCAACCTGCCGAGAGATCGCGGGCGGAAATACACAAACACAATGGTCGCAATACGATCAGGCTATCTGACATCATGCGCCTGTCGGGAGATCCACGAGGGAAATGGGCGTGGGGGGGGGGGCAGCTCGGGGAAAGGCCGCGTTGGGTCCCAAACTTGCCCTCCCCCTGAAAAGACTAGCTCGGTCGGCGATGGAACGTTCAACACGGGTCGCAGATTGAGCGCGAAACGCCGGAATCGATCGGAACAAGCCCACACGCCGACGAATCGTGGTTCAGTCACTGGGGATTCGTTCGAGCCTGCTATGCTCAACTTGCTTTTCTATAACGCACCACTCATTTTGAAGCGCGTCGAACTGGTTGTGCGCCCCTGGTCTCAGTCACAACCATGGGGAGCTCTTGGAATTCCTTTCGGTTTGTTCGGGTCATCTGCAAATTCGTCGCCTATCTTATCCTCCATTGTGCCTTCAACCGCGCGCTGCATGTAAACGTTGCGTCCTCGGCGGCCCGCGCCGGCAGCAGCCCTGCATTTTGCACAAATCGGCGGCGATGTGCTGCAGGCCGCCCACACTGCGTGCCTCCGCGGCCAGGGACAAATCCTCGAACACAAGCCCATTCGGAACGGTAGGAACCTGGGGGAGCAGATCCAATACCAGAAGTCCAGCGGCTCCATGTGGGTGTATCCAAAGCGAGGTCGCCGCGAGCACTTGCGGGAACACTGCGTCCGCAAACTTGGTCACGATCTTGAAATCGACGGTCTTCTCAATATCCGTGTTCTCGGTGACGGTCTCCACGAGGTGGCTCGTCTCTGGTCTCGGTGTCGCTCTGGGTCATCTAGGTCACGTTCGCAGAATCATACTCCACGATGTGGGTCATCTCGGTCTCGGTCTTGGTCATGGCGGCCTCATTGTTCTCGTTCGCGCCGATGTGGCTACGATCGGTTTCGCTCTTGGTCATCTGGGTCTCTTTGTGGTCGGTCACGTCATCCCCAGGACGGTCGCGTTCACCCCGAGGTGGTTCATGTCGAAGAGGCTGAGTGGGGCACCGCAATTTGCGCCGCGCCCAACGGCGCGCATCCGGGCTCGAAGCCGGCTGAGCGCGTGAGCGCCGCTCCACACGCGTGGGAGCGCCATGGTGGGCTCTTCCATGGCGCCCCGCGACCGTCGTCTGCCTTCCTGGCGGGGCCCTTTCCGCCATCCGCGGGAGGCCGTAGCGGCGGGAGCAACACCCGCAGCACCGCCATGGGCGGGTAGTGGGGGCCAGCCGCACCGGGGCGCGGGTCTGCGGGGGCAGAGGCCTCAGGAAGGAGGAGGAGGAGGAGGAGGAGGAGGAGGAGGAGGAGGAGGAGGAGAAAGAGGAGGAGGAGGAGGGAGGAGGAGGAGGAGGAGGAGGAGGAGGAGGAGCAGGAGGAGGCGGAGGGGGAGGAGGAGGCGTGGGAGGAGGGGGAGGAGGAGGCCTCGTTGTTGAGTTCCGCCGCCCTCAACCCGCGGAGCATCACGAGCGTGCCCGGCTGCAGCAGCTGCGCTTGAGGCCCGGGCTGCTCGGGCGGCGGCGCCGCCTGACGGCCGCGGCGGCCCAAGAGGTCGTCGGTTCGGAGCGTTCCTCCTCCTCCTCCTCCCCTTCCTCGCTTTCCTCCTCCCCTCCTCCTCCTCCTCCTCCTCCTCCTCCTCCTCCTCCTCCTCGTCCTCATCGTCCTTCTCCGCCTCCACCGGATTCCCTCGCTCCATCGGTCCCCATCCCCCCTTTCCTCTCGCCGCCTCTTTCGCCCCTCCTTGACCGCTCCTCTCTCTCTCCTCCGCCGCCTCCTCCCCCCTCCTCCTCCTCCTCCCCTCCTCCCCCTCCTCCTCCACCTTCTCCTCCTCCTCCTCCTCCTCCTCCTCCTCCTCCTCCTCCAGGTGGCCCAGGTCAGGCGCCAGCGCGATCGCCACCCTCGAAGAGGCCACGCAGCCACTTCCTTCCGCGGGGCGCATACCCCCCATGGAATGCGTGGGCCTGGCGGCGGCAACGCCGCGATGGCACCAGGCCTACTCCGCAGCGTCTTGTATAACCCGATGTGCACGAACGCCCACGCCGGGCTACCACACATAGCGCACGAGATCGGCACCAAGGCTTTGACAGGATCGATCGGAACTCAGCTCAAGAGTAGAGGAGATATCGTGGAGGACGCGCGCACGGTGAACAAATCTTATACGGTTGAGGCTGGTTATTCATATGTTCAATTTACTACGAATCGCTGCGGGGTGACACTGCTATTGAGACGGACGAGATCCCCCAGACACCGCATCCAACGTATTTTTGACGTGCCTAAATGCATCAGAGGAAGGGCTCTTGGAGTACTGCTAGAACGTCAGGGACTGAAGTGCGGCATCGTCCTCGCGTGTTTTCCACCGAGAGTGACAACGTCCGGGGGAAGGCAGCTCCACGATCGAGGCATTGGGCACTTGCTCAGGTGGATATCGGAAGCGATGGCGACAATCAGAAGACAGTCTTTTGCCTGGATATCAATAATCCCTGCGAGATGTCTCGATCATATATCATGGTCACTGGGCTCCGCCGATGAGATGGGCAAGAAAAGATAATGCCGTCAAACATACAATAGCGTAGCTCTGAAGGGAGGAGGCAGGCCCGCCGGCCGACGCACGCGCGCGCGCCGCAGGCTCGCTCCTTTTCCGTTTCCCTGGAGCCAAAATGGTATAGCTGCGAGGCAGAAGCAGTCAGCACATCGGGCAGTACGCGCAAGGCAAAGGAGCAGAAAGGGCTAAAGGATGGTGGTGCGGAAGGGGTGCATTAACTCCCCCCGCGGCGGGGTCCGTAGAGCCGCCCCGACCCCCCAACCCACCTGACCTGTACGTTGTACAGCCACCAGAGCGAACCCCAAAAGCACTTTACCGCTCGACGGTGGTTCCCAGGGGGCCCAAGGCTGAAGAAACCCGACGTTCCCCGCCTGAGCTAATATTTCCCAGCACTGGCCACAATTCCCGGGCACACCTGGTGCGCCCGCTCCATGATGCAGTTTGGACCAGCATCGGCTATGTCGTACTGGTTCTTTTGTGCTGCGTCATCTTTGCCAATGACTCCTCCAGTCACGAGAATCATCCCACGTGCCTCTGTTACTCCAGTTCCACTGGCACTGATCTCTGGAGTAGTTGTCATGTATTTTTTCTTCTGCTTGGACTCCAGCCACTTGACTCGCTCTTGCCTTGGCCCTTCTCGTGCGGCCTAGCCTTTGCCGTAGGCGGCGGCGGAGGCTCTGGCAAGGTAGTCGGCATCCCAGAATCACGTTTGAACTTGTCGTTGTAGTCGTTCAAACTAAACCACTGCCACGTTTTGTCACGGCCTGTGACTCGCTGATGACGAGATACATGTACGTAGTATCCTTGAAGTTCTCCATTCCCAGTCTTGTCTTCGCAGTCGAGCGTCGCGTCGTAGCTGCCGTCCACGGCCCGCCCGGGGCCGCCGCCATCGCTCGCGCGGCCGCCGCCCGGCTCGACAGTTTGTCTCGCTATAACAGGCTCATCGGCCCAAGATTCATCTGCCCGCGACTGGATTCTAACATAATCTATCCAACCAGCAGCGGTGCCCGACGCGGCTGGGCCGGCGGGCGCCGGAGCATAGGGGGTGGTCCTCTAGGACTGCTTTCCTTCCCGGTACCTCGCTCTCGATTCTGGGCGAGGATGTCGCTGACTTCGCTGTCCCGGAGCGGCGGCGCCGCTCGGGGTATTTTCTTCAACGATTGCGGTTGCAGCATCTGCTGGAGACTCAGCTGGGATTGTCTCTGTAGGAAAGTCGGCTGGGCCGCTCTCCTCCTTTTTCTTCTTAAGGCAATTCGTAATTCCAATGGCGTTGTCCATAATGGAAACTCCAAAGCGGACGTTGGCAAGACAGGTCTTGACGCTAAAATGAGATTCCGTCGACGTACGCATGAAGACCATAGCCACTTGGATGCCTGAGCACTTCCGTCTTGCGGTCTCTGACACGTCATTTCCTAATCCTTTGGTCCATCCGCGAAGAAAGTCAAATGGATCGACTGCGGACCTAATCCAATAATCCTCTGCATAAGCATCACGCATGCCTTCAAGAGCTGCATTCGACTTGTTTAGATCACGCTGTACCTCGTATCCCGGAAATGCAATAATTATTCCTGCAGACATGAAGGATATTCTTACTTCTCGTACAGCTAGCAGAATCCGTCCCCATCTCCCGCGAGTGGGGACTCGATCAAATGGTTGGTTCCAGATTTTGTCCACGAGCTCGGAAAATCCCGGCGGTGCATCATGAATGATGTCTTTGTCCTATGGCATCGTAGCTGGAACTGCGGATACATATTCAAAACATGAACTGTGTTCCAACTGTGATAACTGCTGGCCTATCGTATGGGACACCATTGTACTTATAGTTAGACATGCAGACATACATACAAACCAAATCAAGCCAAAAAAGGCAGCGCTCTCGTCGGAACACTCCGCTGATGACGCTGGGCTATATGTTGGTTACATATGCCGTCCGACGTCGCAACCTTCTCTTCACGTGCTGATATCCCTTCATCACTACGGCTGGGCCGATGCTGAGTTCCAACGCCAAACCGGAAATCTATGTCTCCGACTTGGCTCGACACAGAAACTCGGTTGGCTTCGTTCAAGCTTTCCGTTAACACTTGAACGGGTGCAATTATTACTCCTTTGTCCGACACCCGTTGATCCCATTGGTCCCCGCATGTTTCTGGGCGAATTTGCTCGGCGTTAGCATGTTCCCAATCAAAAGCATCAGGCGCAGAGCATCTCACTGGACGAGCGCCTTGGTCCAGATCTGGCGCCCAGATTAATGGCCACCACTGGGCAGCGGTTGGAGCATTTTCCGCATGCTTGAACTTCAGCCATTTCATGAATCGGAACTTGAGTGGTTCCATATACTGGAAAAGTATGGTTCATGACGCGCCGGCGGCTGCGCCGAGGCGCTGTCGGGTCTCCAGGACGGGGCGGCCCGTAGGTGCGAATTTACAAACGTACAGCCTGCCAGAGCAGCCCGGGAACGTATCTGTGAGTTGCTAGCCCACTTGCGCTGGCGTTGTTCAGCTTTGGTCAAATTTTCAAGCGCATCTGAAGAGCTCTTTTTCATCGCTGTCCTCCTCCTCCTGTGGCTCCTCCTCCTCCTCCTCTGGCTCCTCCTCCTCCTCCTCCTCCTGCTCCTCCTCCTCCTCCTCCTCCTCTTGCCTCCTGCCTCCTCCTTCTCCTCCTCCTCCTCCCCTCCTTCTCCTGTTCATTCTCGCGCTGTGTGGATTCCCCTCCCGCGCCGAGGGCGAAAATCTCAGCAGCAAGGGTCCGTGATGGGAGAAAATATCACCAGCCCTCTGGGCGTAGGTGGTCTAGGGAGGCTGCGCGTCCATCCCCCGTCTCCCAGTTCCGGGCGGGATCCATCACTGTTCCCTATTAGTATACACCCCGTCCCCAAGGCGACTGGCAGCCAACCAGGAACCATCAGGACCCCATGCTCACCCCCCCACACCATCCTGTCAATAGAAATGCAAAACGCACTCTGTCTCCGCATTGGGAGCATGCGCGCCCAACCCGATGCGTCCCCCACCCCACCATCCCTGTTAAACACAATGCAAAGTACACTTTCAGGCAAAGTCTTGAATCATGCTCGTGAGGCCCGCGAGCACTTTGTATTGTCTTTGAAGAGGGACGGCGGGACAAAACATGCACCTCGCTGTTAAAGCTGGACCATGCGAGTCCACCACGCGATCACGGCCAAGTGGTTTTTTGACAGGGTCGGCGGGAGGGTGGCGTATGGCCTGCAGTGTGCTGTCTGTACACACTCGAGCGAGTCTGCTTGCAAGCGGCGGGATGCAGTGTTGGCCGAACTGAGTTTGAATATGCTTGGCTGGGAACGAGTGGCTCCGACTATGAGCGAGACTGAATATCAGAGGGTCTGAGGTATAGGTGTCAGTGAGCCCCTGTGTGAATGTATTAGATTACAAGTGACTGAAATGTACAGCTTCACTGGGTCTGGGTATGCACCGGTATGGGCAAGAAAATGTATGACGTTCAATGCGCCTGCGTATGAGCGTCTGGATGTTCACGGGTCTGGATGCAATTGAGCCTTCGAACGTGTGGCTAGATATGCGCGAGACTGGAATCGACTGGGCTTCAATGTAAATGGATCGGATGACACGTAACGCTGGGCGTGCACGATGGCATCCTGTCATCTGTCGGGTCGGGCAAAAGGGGGGGATAGCAAAGGGGGGGTTTGAGAATCAGCTCACGTAGCTGATTTTCCCGGCGCCTCCCAGCGCCGGAGGCGCCCATGTATCGAGGAATGTGCCCCTCGGTGAGGCCGAAACCAGCTGCATGCAGCAGATTTCGTAACCCCCCCTTTCCCAATCCCCCCCTTTCGCCCGGCCCGAATCTGGGCGGCTGAGCAGCCCCCACGACCTTGGCGCGAACGGGCTGGTGTCATGCCCCCCGGCGACAACCCCTGGGGAGGCCCAGGCGTCCTGCCTGCTACACCGCCGCGGTCAAGAGGCCGTGAAAAGCGACGCGCCCGCTGAGCCACAGCGAACGCTTCGCATGAGGGGTCCCCCCAATCCGGGCGCGAACGGGCTCGTGTCCCACTTGGGGGTCCCAAGACCGTGCGGTTAACGAACCGTGCGGTGGCCTCGAAAGCCTGGAGACCTCACCGCACGGTCCGTCACCAGACGGTTTTGGGACTCTGGAGGCCCCACTCGTCCGAGACATCCTCGGAGAGCGACCCAAGTCCCAAGACCGTGCGGTGACCCCGACTCCCCACTGACTCACCACACAATGCTTTCACCACACCGTCTGGGAGCCATACCCCCGTGCTGCCCCCACCGCCGCTTCCGCAACCGCCGCCGCCGCGTCAGCGGCCGCCTCCCCCGCTTCAGCCGCCATCGCCCGAACTGATCGCGGGCGGGAAACATATCCACTAAGACGAAGCCTGGACCGCGACAAACTCGTACCAAGATAAATCGGGGATCTCTGGAATCCGGCGCGTCTGGAGGATGCGTCGGACGCCGCACCCGCTCCGAACCGCTCCAGACCGCTCCGAGAGCGTGCCAAGACGCCCTGGAGCGATCCCGCCCGATCCGTGTTCTCGGCCTCGCGGGCCAGGCTCCTCGGCCGCGACTCCGTGGACGTGGGGCGGCTCTGCGCGGATGCCCCGCGCGGACCGCATCCGTGCGATCACTGATCCACGTCATCGCGCCCCGGGGCGTCCTTCCACAGCGTGCACCCCTAGAGGTCTGGACCCCTTCTTTGCCATCCCGATCCGTCTCTTGGCGGCCCCGAGCCCAGAAAGGGCCTCCGGACGCTGAAGATGATCCCACACCCGCCGTCGTGTGGCTTCGCAACGCGAGGGCGATCAGGGTGGATCTGGAGGAACCAAAACATCCGAATAGCGTAGTGTCCGTCCAAGAAAAACTCTGGAGCGGCCCAAGATCGCAAGAGCCACGCGTCTCGACATCCCGAGAATCATAACAGACAGCAGCCCCGAGAGAGGACAAGGGCCGTGGTCCCCCCCCTTTCTCAGTCGGGCGCCAACAGTGCGTCCGTCGCTGGGCGAACCGAACGGCGCCCAGCGGCGTCCACGCCCGAACCCAGGCCGAGCCAGGCCGCGCCGCGCCTCTGCGGCTGCGGCGCGCGGGTGCGGGTCGAAGGCGGGCGCCGGCGAGGCGGCTCCTGTCGCGGCGCGGCCGCCGAGGTGCGGGGATGTCCCGCAGCGCAGGGGCTGGGCAGCGTGGGCAGCCGAGGGCAGCCGAGGAGAGAGTCCACGACTCCTCCACTGCGGGCGCGGTTCCCCGACATTCGGCCCGTGGGGCCGCTTGCCGGGCCCGGGGGCGATCACGAGTGGGTCCGGGGCGCGAGCCTAACCCCCGGGGGAGGCATCGACACCTCCGTGGCCGCGCACTGAAATCAGCATCTACTCGGATGTCTCGGCAGTGGGGTATCAGGCTCCTATCGGCGATGCATGGGCGACTGGGCGTCGATGCTCCCCCCCGTGAGCCTATCCCCCCTGACGCTGCATCTGCGGGAACCGCAGGCGGTGGAGCAGACGGCAAGGAGGAGGAGGAGGACGTCAAGAAGGCGGAGGAGGGGAGGGAAGGTAAGGGCTGGCTGGAGGCCTCAGGGGGCGGACTGCGGGTCCCGCGGAGCTGGTGCCTCGGAGAACCCCCGGAAGAATGGAAACCTCGCGGGCTCCCTCCGGGTTCCTCTATCTATTCCCGCAACCTTTGTACTCCTATGTGTCACCAAGGGTGCAACAAAAAGGTGCAACAGCAGAAACCGTGGAGGATACGCGTGCACCGATGGAACAAATAATGAAACGATGGTTTCCACAACAAGCAATGTACATTTGTATGGGTGGTCCACGTAGAACGGCGAACGCACGCTGCGCGCACGGGGCGAGTTTGCAACGACACCGAAGGGACCTCGTCATCACAATTGTGCGAGCGTGGACGCTCGACTGCGAGGGGCTTGCCAGAGACACCATCACACCGCGCGTCACCTCGGCCGAGTCGAGAGCTGGTGAACCTTCAGATAGCAACGACGAAGTGTCAGCGCATTCCTGTTCGGACGGGCGGCAAATCCGAATGCAAATTCGAACGCAACTTGAACAACTCGAACGCACATTGAACGCAACAATCTCGAACCCCTGCAGATTTACCGAGCTTCCGCTACGAATCCAATTGCATTCGGTTGCGCGCATCTCGCGCTCAAGCTGAGCGCACGTGGCCAGAAGCCGTGTACGGTTACAGGGTTCCTACAAGCCTCGGCCCCATGCAATCTCACAGCTGCGCTTACGAACGAAGTCGCAACCACAAGTAAAATAATAGAGAATGAACGCGCTGAGCGATCAGATCACCGACAAGGATATACCAATCCAACCTCACATACTTCGCATTGCAATGCCACTGCAATGCAGCGACACTGCATATTGGCGTTCGACAGATCATGATGCGGCAGCCCCATGGCCTCGATGCATACCGCTGCCAAAATATCAAGTTGCTGCTCCCGGACTTCTTGATGGGTCGATTTTCCACTACCACCACCATAAGTCGGAGGGGGTCCTCCTCTTCCACCTCCTCCTCCTTCGCCTCCTCGTCCTCCCCCTCCTCCTCCTCCTCCTCCTCCTCCTCCTCCTCCTCCTCCTCCACCTCCTTCCCCCTCCAATTTATGGTGGTGGTGGTGGAAAACAGGCCCTGAAGGTTCGGATGTTCTCTGCGTAACCCACGGGTGGGGCACAACAAGCCTCCTTCTCGCGCTTTTTCCTGCTGGACGGGAACCCAGCACTCCCCGCGACTGCCCGCGTAAAGGGGCACCTCTTGGCACCGCATCGGCCGGCTGCCCGCTCGCAACTTAGCTGCCGCAGGAAGTCGCAGCGCACCCACTTTGCTATAGCATCATCGGGGAAATTCTGGTACATGTAAAAAGCTCTGCAGCTACGGTGAGGGCGTTGGATAAAGGAGCCATTGGATAAGGAGCCATTGGATATCACCGCCACCCTCAGCAGACAAGGAATCACCCAGTGTCTGAAGCCTCCTGGGCATATTCCTTAACCAACGCTCCCACCGTACTCGGCGGTGTACGAATTTAATTATCTGCTCGGAGGCGCCACGCACCTTGCCTCGATTGCTCCGTAGCTCTGCAGGCCCAACCGGGCGACGCCCCAGGCGTCCGGGAGCGCGTCGTCTGCTGCTCACGCCTCGGAGCCGAGGCGCGGGTGGCGCTGCGAACATCGAAGGAGGGTGGGCGTGCAAGAGTACGCGATGCACCGCACCACGAATGCAGAAGTGGCGCGCGCCCGCCAGGCCGCCCTGCGCGCCTAGTGCTCCCCCAGGGGCGCTCGGCTTCCGAGACGCTGAGGAGGAGGAGGAGGAGGGAGGGGGGAGGAGGAGGAGGGAGGAGGAGGAGGAGGAGGAGGAGGAGGAGGAGGAGGAGGAGGAGGAGGAGGTGCCGAACCCCAACGGCACGAGGGTCCGAACCACCCACCATCGACACGATGACGCTGACCCTGGCACAGTTGCCCGCGAGCCCGGCCTCCCAAGCCGAGGATTCGAACATAATCACCCATGGGCCCACCAGATCATCGCTCCAAAACGTCCTGCGCCCGTACAGTCAACCTGTATAGTAAGGATGCGCGATAAGGATGCAAGGGCCTTGGACGCCCATTTCGAAGCTTTTCGAGCGGGGCGAGGCCAGGGAAAGCGGCGAAGGATGGACCGAGGGAGGCACGGATGCAACTTGGGAAGGTTGCCCATCCTCAGTATGCGGGTTGACTGTAGCTCTCCAAAACGTCCTGCGCCCGTACCGCGACCGTAAGCGTTGGACGGTCGACCAGCGCACTGGCGCCGAGCGAGCCCACCAGGCCGACAAGCTGGAAAGCGTCTGCTGCCAGCGCCGTGCGGGGCCGCCTGAAGGCGCGCAGCTCGAGCCCCACCAGGTGCGGGACCGCTGAAGCAACGATGAAAATATGCAAATGCCCGTGCGTCACCGGCCGGGCCCAAGCAGCCAACGGCCGGGTGGACAGGGGGCACCGCAGGTGCATCGGCGCAGCGCGCCGCCTGGGCCAGCGATGCACGAAGCAGAAAGCCACGACGGTCAAAGTCACGGCAGGGAAGCGAGATTCATCCTCGCGGTCCAAACAAAATGGGGCCACAAGACGGCTCAGGCCTCGTGCGATGCGTAGTGCCAGCCGAACTTTGTTTCCAGCCGCCGCCCTTGTAGAGGAAGACAAAGCAGCATAACACACCAATTGTTGCAACTCCGCGCGGATCTCGGCGATCGGCGTTTGCCCTCCCTCCCTGGCGCGCAGAGCGCGCCAGGGTCAAAAAATCCGCGTGGACCTTCGAACATGTAATCTTCCTCGAATGAGGCGCCGCGGTCGTACCAGATTGGCGGCGCGCTCAAGGGGTCAGGGGGAGGGGGGAGGGCTCCTTAGAAGGAGGCTGCTTCTTAGAAGGCGCCGCCCGCACCTACTAAGATGCAGGGCTGCTTCCAAGAAGGCTTCCCCTCTCTCCCGACCCCCATCTGCGCATGGCCGACCAGAGCACCCCGGCACACCCTGGAACGGTCGACCCCGAGCCTGGGCCATTCCCGCGGGCTCGACGTCCCTCAGAACGGCCCGACCTGCCGTTGCAGGCCGTGCGTTGGGCCCGCCGTGGGAGCCGGTCATGTCATGCGTCGGCATCGGGTGTGGGTGCAGGCTGAATGATGAATGTGATATTGTCCTCGTTGTGAAATAGCCGGGGAACACACAGGGAGCCGCGAGCAGCACGAATGGAGCAGGCGGAATGGGAGCTAACTCAGGGCGGCAAGTGCGATGTTCTCGAAACCCGCGGCCATCACACTGCGTGAGCCGTGGCGAGCCGAGGCGCACGTGGGGCTCGATGTCGGAAAAATGCTGCCACGCACGAGCTACCGCTGCGCTGACAAAGCCGGCGCTGCGGAACGAAACATGTGTCGGGTCGTCGTCCTCGAGGTTGTTTTCCCAACCATACTGCGGTGTTGGATCCTCATTTCGACGAGAAATTGCCTCGGGTCACCTCACCTCTCTCCTCCCATCAACTTATCTCTGCCCTCTGCATGTCAAACTGTTCGGCAAACCCTCACAAGTCTCGTGGCCTCATGCGGAGCTCCACCGAAGGCCCTGGTGGCAAAGTTCGCATGACGGCGCAACCCCGTTTTGGCGCGCCCTTCACACGGTTCGTGGCCACATAGGGAGCTCCACCGACGGATCCAGTGGCAAAATCAGCATGGCGGCGCCACCGCCATGTTGGCGCATTCCTCACACGGTGCGCAGCCACGTAGGGAGCTCCACCGAAAGCCCCAATGGCAAAGTCCGCATGGTGGTGCCGCCCCATTTTGGCGCACCCCTCACACGGTTTATGGCCCCCACAGGAGGCTCCACCAACAGCCACAGTGGCAAAGTTCGCATGGCGGCGCCACCCCATGTTGACGCATTCGTCCCTCGAGGCGCAGCCACGTAAGAGCTTCACCGAAGGCCCCCCACTGGCAAAGTCCGCATGACGGCGCTGCCCGATTGTGGCGAAGCCTTCCCAAGGTTTATGGCACCGTAAGGAGCTCAACTGAAGGCCTGAGTGGCAAAGTTCGCATGTCGCCGCCGCTCCATGTGGTCGCACCGCTCACACGGTTCGGGGCCCCGTAGGAAGAGCTACATACACCGAAGGCCCCAGTGACAAAGTCCGCGCGGCGCCACCCCATGCTGGCACGCCCCTCACACGGTCTGTGTCCCCGTAGGAAGCTCCACGGAAGGCCTCTTTCAAAGCTCGCATGGCGGCGCCAGCCCATTTTGGCACTCCCTTCACACGGTTCGTGGCCACATGGGGAGCTCCACAGAAAGCCCCAATGGCAAAGTACGCATGACGGCGCCGCCCCATTTTGGCGCACCGCTCACACGGCTTGTGGCCCCCATAAGGAGCTCCACTGACAGCCACAATGGCAAAGTTCGCATGGCGGCGCCACCCCATGTCGGCAGTTCGTGGCCCATAGGGAGCTACGGTGCCACAACGCGGCACTCACAACTACATATTGTTGGGTCCTTCACCAGGATATACGCCGGTCGGAGGAAGTAGGTAAAAACATGAAGTAGGAAGGCGGATCGAGTAGATTGGGTTCAGGACCTCCCAGAGGAAAAACAAACCACAGACAAACACGTATCGGTCCTTGAAGTAGGAAGGCGCTTGAAGTAGATTGGGATCTGGGAAACCAGAAATACCTACTTTCAACGACTCGCAAGTGGTTATTCCCCGCGCGTCCTTCCTTACAGGGGGGGAGAGTCGGGCGACAATGACAGGGTAAATGTAGCACGGCGGGCGCGGGTGGTAGCAGTAATGATGGTAGTAGCAGTGGTACCACTGGTAGCGGCAATACCAGCACAAGCAACGGTAATAAAGAGGACGACGACGTCGAAGACGACGACCGGTGACGACGACGACAACGACAACGACGCCAATGACGACGACTGGCGGCGGCGACGTCGGACCCGACCAGCGAATGCCTATGTTAGAACGAATATCATGGGATGATTCCTGTCCAGCCTCGAATGCCCAGAAGTGTCCAAAAGTGCCCGCAAACGTTCGCAAACGTTCGCAAACGTGCCTCCATAGCGCCGCTTTACAGCAACACCAAACAGCAAGTGCAATAGCAACGGCATGCAACAACTATTGCTGCTGCCGCTACTGCTATTGTCCTTGAGGTTACCATTGAAATTGTTCTCTATCGTAATTACCATCATCCTCGTCGTGATGTTCCTCTTCTCGCCCTCCTACGCCGTCCCCCTCCTCCTGCTCAGCCATCCCACGCCCCCCTCCTCTTCCTCATCCATCCCCCTCTCTTTCCCCCCCCCCCTCTCCCACACCCCGTTCTCATTCCTCGCCATCCGATTCCTCCGAATCCGACTCCGTATCCTCATCCCGTTTCCCCTCCTCGTCTCATTCCTCTAGTTCTCCTTCCTGCTCCTCCATCTCCTCCTCATCGTCCTCCTCTTCCTTCAGTCGTTGGACATGTTTGAAACACTTTGCGAGAGCTTGCGAACGTTCGCACGTGCGTCGCACGCACGCACTTTTAAATGCATACCGTGGAAGAATACACAACAAAATTTCTGGAGACTCTTCGAAACCGTTCTGCGAACGTTTGTGAGAACTCCGGAAACACTTCGCGAACGTTTGCGAAACATGTGCACACACTTCTGGGATATCCCGGGCAATGCAAAAAACACGTTACGAACGGCTGCGTCCGTTTGCAAACACCTTCGCCAGAAGCATTCCGGAGACGCTTTGCAAACGTTTGCACGCACTTTGAAATCACTCCTGGGCAATTTTGCAACACATGCGACAGTTTTACGCACGGCAGAGGCACCTCTGGGCACTTGTATAGCAAGTGTTCCCAAAACGACTTGTCTGCAGACGTTTGCAAGCGTGTCTCGGACGTCCCAAAGAATGATTCCAAAGTAATCAAAAAATGCAACACAATTCCAACCGTGCCTCCGACGCGCTCGCAAACGTTCGCGAAGCGCTGCGAAAATATCCAAATGGGCCCAATCGTGAGTACTCGAGAAAGTGCGCAAACAGTCGCAAAGTGCTTCAAAAGTGCCCAGCAATGCCTCCAAGGTGTCCGCCATTGCTCGCCAAACGTTTCTTTAACCTCTCCAAAAAACTTCGGGCCGCTTTTCCAGCAAGTGCCTGCAGATGTCGCCAAGCGTGATCAAACGTGTCTCCAAACTGCTTACAAACGTTCGCTAACGTTCGCAAAGTGCTTCGAAAATGACGGAAAGTGCCCGAGAACGCTTCCAAAGTGCTTGCAAACGTTCGCGAAGCGCCTCCAAAGAGCCGCCAGACTGCATGTGGGTCATGATCTAGCAAGCGTGATCAAAAGTCACCCATGCCCCCGACGTCTTTGCAAACGTTCGCAGCCGTTCGCAAAGAGAACCCAAAGTGCCTGCGAGATCAAGCGAAGCGCAGATATTCCTGCGAAGTCTTGTTCATGCTCGGTAGGCCCTGTCATGCTTTGCGCGCCTTAAAGCAAGCGTATGCGGCCGCGCAACCACGAGCTCCAATTTCCAAGGTGGTGTTGGGTCCTCGTTTTGACGAGGCAGCGATGCGCGTCCCTCCTACCCCTCCTCCCTCCCTCCTCCCTCCCTCCTCCCATCATCATCATCATCATCATCATCATCATCATCATCATCAGCAGCATCATCATCATCAACATCATCATCATCATCAGCATCATCATCATCATAATCATCATCATCGTCATCGTCATCATCATCAGCATCATCATCATCATCATCATCATCATCATTATCATCATTGTCATCGTCGTCGTGACCGTCGTCATCATCATCATCATCATCATCGTGGCCTCCATCATCATCATGGCCGTCATCATCACCATCATCGTCATCATCACCATCATCGTCATCGTCTTCGTCACCCCTCTCACACGTTTCGTGGCCTCATAGGAAGCTCCACCTAAGGCCCCAGTGGCACAGTCCGCATTGCGGCGCCGCCCCATCTTGGCGCACCCCTCAGTTTCGTGGCCCCATAGGGAGCTCCACATAAGGTTCCAATGGCGCAGTCCTCATGGCAGCGCCCCCGATTTCGGCACACCCATCGCACGTTTCGTGGCCCCACAGGGAGCTCCACCTCAGGTCCCGGTGGCGCAGTCCGCATGGCTGCGCCGCCCCATCTTTGCACACGCGTCATATTGCCCCATTGGGAGCTCCACCTCAGGTCCCAGTGGCGCAGTCCGCATGGCGGCGCCGCCCCATCTTGGCAAACCCCTTCGTTTCGTGGCTTCATGGGGAGCTCCACCTGAGGTCCCAATGGCGCAGTCCTCATGGCGGCGCCCCCGATTTTGGCACACCCCTCGCACGTTTCGTGGCCCCACACGAAGCTCCACTGCATGGCTGCGCCTCCCAATTTGGGACACCCCTCACACGTTTCGTGACCCCCTACAGGGAGCTCCACCTCAGGACCCAGTGGCGCAGTCCACATGGCGGCGCCGCCCCAGTTTGGCACACCTCTCACACGTTTCGTGGCCCCATAGGGAGTTCCACCAGGTCCCACTGGCGCAAGTCCGCATGGCTGCGCCGCCCATTTTTGGGACACCCCTCACGCGTCTGATTGCCCCATTGGGAGCTCCACCTCAGGTCCCAGTGGCGCAGTCCGCATGGCGGCGCCGCCCCATCTTGGCAAACCCCTTAGTTTCGTGGACCCATGTGGAGCTCCACCTCAGGTCCCAATGGCGAAGCCCGCATGGCGGCGCCGCCCAACTTTGGCACACCACTCACAAGTTTCGTGGCTCCACAGGGAGCTCCACCTCAGGTCCCAGTGGCGCAGTCCGCATGGCCGCACCGCCCTATGTTGGCACACCCCTCACACGTTTCGTGGCCCCACAGGGAGCTCCACCTCAGGTCCCGGTGGCGCAGTCCGCATGGCTGCGCCGCCCAATTTGGGACACCCCTCACACGTTTCGTGGCCTCATAGGAAGCTCCACCCAAGGCCCCAGTGGCGCAGTCCGCATGGCGGCGCCGCCCCAGTTTGGCACACCCCTCACACGTTTCGTGGCCCCACAGGGAGCTCCACCTCAAGTCCCGGTGGCGCAGTCCGCATGGCTGCGCCGCCCAATTTTGGGACACCCCTCACACGTTTCGTGGCCCCACAAAGAGCTCCACCTCAAGTCCCGGTGGTGCAGTCCGCATGGCGGCGCCGCCCCAGTTTGGCTCACCCCATAGTTTCGTGGCCCCATACGGAACTTCATCTCAGATCCCAATGGCGAAGGTCCTCATGGCGGCGCCGCCCCATTTTGGCACACCCCTCGCACGTTTCGTGGCCCCATACGGAGCGCCACCTCAGGCCCCAGTGGCGCAGTCCCCACCCAGCACAGCCCCTCGTGGCCCCATAAGGAGCTCCACCGAAGGTCCTTGTGGCGCAG